CAGGAAATTAAGCCCGTCTTGCATTGCCAATAAAGTACTGTATGAGCAACATTCTTGGCAGCATTTGAGGCCAACCAAGAAACACAAAGGACTCGTGAATTGGCATCTTTGTGACTTTCTCGGACTCAAAAGGGCGAAAGGCTTAAATTATCATTAACACGCTGCTGCATTAACGCATTCACAAAGAGCCGATGCAGGGTGCAGCAAAACCCCCGCTGCCATTGTGCAGTGTGCATTCCCACCTGCTGATGCTGCCATGGCCGTTTCCTGGGAAAGTTTCTGGAGGCTCAGCTCTTGCAATTCTTCAAGAGAAAACAAAAAAAAAACTAAAACTGCTGCCACGAACGCAGCTCAGCGCTCCGAGTGCTTTCCGTCACCGCCCCCACGACGCATCCCACGGCGTTGGACGGTGCAAAATTCTGCTCCTCATTCTGCCGCTAGACACCGAGAATCGTTCTCCTGCTCACCGGGTGCCAAGGCTGCCCGCGTGTTTCCGTTGGCCAGGCTTGCAGCGGTCCGTGGGGCGGCAAGGCGGGCGGGCGGGCCGGTGGGCGAGCGAGCGAGCGAACGGACGGTAATGCCGCCTGCCTCGCGGGAGGCTGGGAGCTGTGGGCTCACGGCGAGGCTGCCCTTCTGGCGCAGCAAGGGCTGTGGTCGCTTCTGGAGTGAGAACTGCCAAGCTCGCTGTGACGTCAACGCCATCCTGCAGCTGCAGCAAGGACGTCACGTGGTGGGAGGGACAGAAACTCCCTCCCGCCCTCCGTGCTCAGAGACGCAGTCCCAGTGCCCTCCCCGATCAGTAACTCGCGGTGTACTTTGGATGCCTCAACAGGGCATTTACTCTGCCAACGAAGGAACTTTTGAACGTTTGTTATTACACTTTTAATACCACTGCGTACTAGAATGATTAGCCACGGCACTGTACAAGTGCCCTCGTTTAATTTTAAGACCGGTGTGCTTGAACACAGTAACTGCTTAGAAAAAATCGTGGCTAGTTTATTCTGGAAAAGGTACAAATCAGGAACAAACTTATCACTGACTTTTCAATTTAACAATTGCATCACAAGCTCTTCAGAAAAATTCCCATGAGTAACTTTCCAGTCATCTTGTTACTACAGACACAATTAATAAACCATTAACCACGTTTCTGTTGGCAAACATTATGATTAGCAAGTTTAGTGCATTACACATAAATACACATATATTGTGTGTAATGCATACAAAGTGGGTATATAAATGTATCCAAAAACTTTACACAAACAACAAAACACACATATCTAACTAACGTAAATCTATACACCATGAATACAACACATGTGCATGCATGCGCACTGGCACTAATTCATAACACAAGTAGTAGTTTGTAAACCGAAAATGTAAATTCCTGGAATAGCTAAATGGTAAAAGAAAACTCAAGGCCAGAGTTTCTAGGCTGATGTGGACAAAGCATACATTTCAGATGCCAGAGTCTGACTCAGAGATCATGAGATCCCGAGGCAGCCCGTTGAGAATGGGGGCCTCTGAGCTCAACCCCCCCCAACTGTGGGGCCCTGCGCATTCACTCGTCGCCCTGGCGAACGCTAATGGCTCCCGCGGCCACTGCCGTTCCCGCATACCGACCAGTCGGCAAGTCGGTGCGTCACCTGGACGCGAGCAGCCCGAACCACGCAGCTCACAACCGCCACCAACGCCGCCACCACCAGAGGCCCCAACGCGCCCTTCACTAAATACGCTCGGCGCAGTCTTCAAACGCACGTTCATGCAGAAACAAAGAGTCCCGAGTAGCCACGCTGGCTATTTTAGGACAAGTGTGGTTAGCGAGCGCCTATGAAGGTAGGAACGACGCACAAGAGGGATGGTATGTCCAGCACCACGCCCTGCAGTACCATGCTGACACACACGCACAAACGGTACCTCTGACTTTCCTTCTGACATCCATTTACATGAAAGCAGTGTTGGAGTAAGTAGACCGCGTTGACGTTGGTGGCATCGTGTGCACTACGCACGGATGGGTGGCGAGCTGCCCACACACCAACTCGTGGCGGTGCTGCTGCTGCATCCGTTACCGCCAGTTCCCACTGTGGCGAGGGAGGGGCCGATGGGCAAGGATCAGAGACCGCAGGCTCCTCCCAAAGTCTAAGGTCTGAAGAACTAAAAATACGCGGCCTTGAGTGTTTACAGCGCCCACTTCTTCAGGGGCACGGAGGAGGGAGGGGCGTTATGGAAATGAGCGGCGGGAGACGCCAGGGAAAAATTATCCGGCATTGAGGCGAGGACCCCAATGCTGGAATGTGGCCACGGCCGCGGCCTGAAGACGCGGCCAAAAGTTACGACATGACACAACTCGGGGGGAGGTTTGCAGAAATGTAAATACGGTTTCACCACGCGACCTCTGGATAAATGGCTATGTCAAGAAATGTAAACACAATGCAATCTAAAATCACGTGCCTCATGGCTCGCCGCACGTGTCTCTCAGGGCGTGTGAAGCACCTGGATTAAAACATTCACAAGGACCCGTGCTCTGGGTCTCCGTCTGTGAATAAGTGACGTATACAAATAAATATGCTTTCCATGCAGCATTGCAAAAATAAGTACATCTAATTTTATCAGATTATTTTAAATTAGGACGAATTAAATAAACGTCCATGGCAATTTCCCATGATTCAAACAATAAATAACGTGGGGCGCCGCGGTGGCGAGATGTTCACTACCTCACCTGGCATCAAGGAGAATCGTGGGTTCAATCCCAAGCCAGACCCTTGTATATTTTGAGTTTGCATGTTGTCTGGATTATTCTCCGGGTCCTCCGGTTTTTCCCCTTGGTTTTGTGGTGAGCGACATCCTGGGACTCATAATCAACGTTTTTGGGTTTAGATCGCGTTTATTTATAAATGTGTCGTAACCCTCCACCACCCGACACGGCCAATCAGTAAAAAATGTGTCACGTTGACAAAGACAAATAGTTCACTGCTTTAGCCCACCGGTGTGTTGAAGCAACAACCTTAACAAGCCTGCGCTGACCAGCGTGAAGTATGGTACAACGACGACTATGACCGACAAAGTGGGGGAGGCCTTATTATTGTATAATTCATTCATACGACGCCAAAAACAAAAGCATTAACGATAATGCGTTCTATCCTAACCCCAGCCGAACAGCTGTGCATCACGTGGCATGCGGTCTGTGGCCATGCCCTTCCCCTCCCTGCCACGGCTGGTGGCTGGACTTTGACGATCGCAAACAGAAGTCCGTATTTAGAGCTGGGATGCCACGGTGGCAAAATGTTAACTACCTCGCCTGGTATACAGGACGTTGTGGGTTCGATTCCGACCCTGACGTCTGTATATTTGGAGTTTGTATGTTCCCCCCGTGTCACGTAGATATTCCTCCGGGTCCTAGATTTTTCCCTCCACATTTAGAATCAACATGCGTTTACAGTATTTGGCTGCTATAAATGTCCAAAAGAAAAGTCACTTCATTTGGATTATTATTGTGGCCAGGTCGCTTTTGAAAAAGAGCTAGATAGCTCAGTGGCCCTTACCTGGTAAAATAAAAATAGGTAAGTTAAGCTTATAATGCATCCATTAAGTCGACGATTCGTTGTAAATTTGCAATTGACTGATTTTCTTCGTGGTTGATTCCTATGCCCTCTTTAAAAATGGCAGCCTCCCCCATACATCCTGCTTTCTGAAGGTGGGAAACCCCTGAGAAGCCACGCCCAGCTTGCCTGATGTCAATAACATCACTAAGCCTATCGAGGGTGGAGCCGTCCCTAGGATACGGCGAATCGTGGCGACTGCCCCGGGCCCCGCGCTTTGGGGGGCCCAACATTTAGACTACACGGTGTCAGACACATGGTGGGATTTGACCCGAGACCCCGCACCTCCCCTACGGACGGCCCGGATCGTGAGCGCCCGCACCGTATTCGATAGTCTTGGAGGCATCCACACACTGGAGCCACCAACAGCACCGGGCGGTACTCATCACCACTGGCTGATGTGAGCCAATGGTGGTAAATTCCTTTATTTCTATAACGTGGGTACATCTTATCTCGCCAAATTTATGGAGAAGTAGTTTTTGCTTAAAGTATTTTTCTCTTGACACAGATCTTTTCAGGAACTCATCTACTCTTACCGTGTTACACGAGAACTTACCATTGTGCATTCTTACTGTTACATATACGGCGAGTTGCTCCACCGTTTACGAAGCCAAACGACAGTATTAACAGAACCGTGCACAGGTCAGACGTGGCTCGCAGATGACAGAGCGGCCCCAACAGCTGGGCAAGTTCTCAGACTGGGTGACCCCTTGCCCTGGGCGGCATGTTCCCTCTCTAAACAAAGAGCAAGCACGGAGCGTGCGGTGGGGAGTCAGTGCAGTGCTCTCCGAGCGACAGGCATCCGGAACTCGGTTCTGAGCAAGTTTGCTACAGCTCAACCGCGAAGAAGTGCCCGAGGAATACGGAGCGGACATGGCTGAGATTCTGGCTTGGAATCCAGTTCCATGATTAAACCGGGTTCTCAATTACGGACGGTCCCTGCCCACTCACCAATGACTAACACAATCTGGCAACAAAACTGACACCTTTTTTACAAGGAGTCATGTTTACATAGACCACAATACCTGCAGTCATAATGCAAAAAAAAACATAACTGATAATGTATGCACTGTCCTTGAAGTTGATTGGTCCACACCCGAGACAGCTTTCCTTAGAGCCTAGTCTCACATGGGTTGGACCAGATGACGCCAAAAGGCGCACTTTGTTGCCAGATAGAAGGGTAAAAAAACACAATTATCATATTTTTTACTGGCAAATGAGGTTCCAATGGTACAATGGAATTTTTCACCGATTATAGCTCCGCATGAAAATGTTCAGGTTCGATTGTGAATTTACCACACAATAGGCACCATTCGCTAGACATCAGAGATACATGTCTGGTGTGGATAATGAAGGCTACCTCTTGTGTGTAAGCACAGGAGCGCATCTTCTTGAGCCACTCACCGTCACAAATGCTTCCGAAGCGCTTTGATTGCCTGCTTGCGGCAGCGGCAGCAGCTGGAGGGGCTGGAGGGCTGCCGTCTGCGAGCAGCGGTTTGTAGGGAAATGCGTCGTCGGGGAGCCTCGGGGCGGCGATGAGCGACTTGAGAGCGGCCGTCACGGGGAAGCCGTCGGCACCCGAGTTCCTCACCGAGCGCCCCGCGTAGCCCTGGCCTCGTCCGTGGATGTCCAACTCGAAGGGCTTCTTGAGATCTGGAGGAGGGATAGAAACGAGGCGTTGCAGGCAGGGGCGTCGGGGCGAGTCCACGTCGCAAATGCTTCCTGATCATTATTGGTTGTTATAAGCTATTAAGCTTATTTTTTTCCAGGTGAAGTGCACTGAGCTATACAGCTCTTTTGCAGAAGCGACCTGCTCAAAAATGATAGCTCAACGAAGTGGCGTATCGTGTGGAAATGTATAGCAGCAAAATATTCTCAACACATGTTTATTCAAAATGTGGAGGGAAAAACCGTAGGACTCAGAGAAAAATCCACGCGACCATGGGGAGAACATGCAAAGTCCAAATATACAGGTGCCAGGTTCAGGATCAAACCCCCGACCTCCTGCGTACCAGGTGAGGGAGATAACATCTCGCCTCCACAGACAGAATCTGCAAAGTTCATCCTCCCTGCATCATCACGGATAACAGTTTCACTGTACCATGCTTATATGAAATCTACACAACTCGTGGCTACTGACCCACTACTGAGCCAACTGTTTGTGCGCCACTGTACACTAAAAGGTTCTATCTGCAGCACAATCAGTGTTTATGTCACACAATCTAAAAAATACCACGTTTTTGTCCAAAATGTGGTGGGCGTTTATTTTACCAAATATAAACAAGTTCGGGCTGTCCGGACACCTACAACACCCACAATCGCTGTTTGAGTAATGTACTCAGCTGTGTGCACTCCAGGTAAACCCAAATTGGAACCAGGAACATCGTCAATCATCGCACTCCCCGGACCTCTTGGCATCACACATAAGAGATCGTTCAACAGTACCAACGTGGTTTACACAAGTCCGCAAACCACATGCTAGGAGGGGTGGTGGTGAAGGATAATTTATGCTTTATTAACGCACTAGATTGTGCGTGTGGCTGGGGTGGATCGGGTGTCAGCGCGATGAGTCACCACTGAGATCCTGGATGTGGATTTCTGTTACGCGTGGTTAGTGCGGAGTCCGTGGTCTCACCCAGGCACCAATAGCTGTACACCAAAAACACATCACATTAAGATTGGTGTTTCACTCAAATGGACTAAATTCCGGCTCTGAGAATTCAAAATGTCAATTTCTCTGTTGCAGAGTTTGTGGGAAAGTATGGCCCGTAATCTGTGGATAAAAATAATGCCTTGAAGGATTCTCAGAAACAGTTCTGTAATATCACTTCCCACTGGTTGTTCTCAAATACATGGGGTTTTGAGCTGCCCTGGAGGACGGTCTGAATGGATACTTCCTCTCATCGTCGTTTCCAAGAGAACAATTTGAATAAAACTAGGGCAGAGAATGTTTTAAAACACTCAAATAAAATGATAACGCACTTTCTCTGACATTCAACTATGCAATGTAAACTACCTGTGAGATTGATGGGTGGAAAAAAATCCACACACCCTTTCATATTGTTTACATGAATACTGAGCAATCCCTTAAGTCTACAGTTGGCGCAATTTCCCAGATTATAAGACGTTCACCCGCAAAGCATAATGTACTCCAAACTCATGCCGTGTCATTAGAGCTACACAAATCTCACCACGCACGCAGCACACAGCTTCCCGATGATAAAACCTTTGTTTTAAATGCAGGGGGAAATATGCATTCCTTAAGGGAGAAAGACAGAAACATTAAAACATTATTTTAAGGCACCACTTGCTTGCACGAGAAGGATGGTCATAATAATCGGTTTTTTACCCTTTTATCTGGCAACAAAACTGACACCTTTTTTACAAGGAGTCATGTTTACATAGACCACAATACCTGCAGTCATAATGCAAACAAAAAACATAACTCTGATAATGTGCACTGTCCTTGAAGTTGATTGGTCCACACCCGAGACAGCTTTCCTTAGTGCCTAGTCTCACATGGGTTGGACCAGATGACGCTCTAAGGAAAGCTATCTCGGGTGTGGAGCAATCAACTTCAAGGACAGTGCACATTATCAGAGTTATGTTTTTTTTTGCATTATGACTGCAGGTATTGTGGTATATGTAAACATGACTCCTTGTAAAAAAAGGTGTCAGTTTTTTTGCCAGATAGAAGGGTAAAAAAACCAATTATCATATTTTTACTGGCAAATGAGGTTCCAATGGTGTAAAAGTATGGTCATCTCCATTGTGGATCCTGAGAACGATTCACTCGTGAACGACGTTGTTGTCGTTCGGCAGCAGCCGAGTACCGCGTTTGGATTTAAATTTGGTACAAGGCAGGTGAATGGTCCAGGAACGTGGACATCGTGTCGCTGAGGTTCCGTGACAGTGGGAGCCCCCTGCTGGGGTTAACGACAAAGCACAGGGGAGGGCCCATCGGCTGGACACGGCGTGAACGTGGTGGTGCAACACATTCGCCCGGTGCTGTGCACGGTTACGTGACGAAGGCTGGCAAGGCACAGGTGCAAGGAATGGAATGGGCCCCACCACGCGTTGTGCAAGTTCGGTCTCTCTTCGTATCCCAATTCCGTGGTGCCACCCACACGCGCGATTGCTCGGTCCGCTGGTTCCGAGAACGCAGATGGGCGCCGGGTCTAATGCCCCTCCACAACAGACGGCGGCCAGGGCTGTGCGTGCCATTAGAATCGCCGCATTAGAGGGGAGCGCAGCACGAACGCTGTGACCCGTAGACAGGGCCGTCCATGGGGGGAGGTGGGGACTGGAGCAAATCCCACCATGTGGGCCTCCTCCTCGACGCCTTCAAACTAAACCGGGACTATTACGTCTGACGCCGTGATGTCGGAATGCGGGCCCCCCCAAAGCCCAGGGCCCGGGGCGGTCTCCCGATTCACCGCACCCTAGGGACGGCTCTGCCTGCAGCTACTAGAGAGGCACGCTAGCCGGGTGATCGCGCACACACTGCATGGATGGCAGCCCTCCAAAGAGAGCGGCGTCATTTCCCTTTTGATTAACCATAATCTGTTACAGTGTGTTTCCATGCTTGTTGAAATACATTTCTATCGCAAAAGGTCGGCGCTTGGAGCTTGGGAAACGTCATCTTAGAGAAGGGCAGTGTTTCATTTATTTATTCATGCTGCTTTCTGTGCAGCGGCGCACTTAGCAGAGGCACAGACCAGAGGCCCTGCACGTCCACTGTGGGGATATCGAGTTCCCAATTACTCGGAATCGCCGGTTTGAGCCTCATCAGATGGTGCACATGAACAAAAAAAAACATGTTGACCTTTGACAAACGCTGCAATTAGCCATGATTTGTAGACTTATTATTTCTGCTGGTAAGAACTGTATTTAAATTATAGGTCAACATGTTGAGAACAATGTGTAAATGCATTAGTCAGAAATCAAAACCCTTACAAACTTGAGCACCAAAATGTATTTTAAGATAGCCGAAGCAAACGCAGCGATTCTTTTTCAGTTGCGAAATTCAAGTTCCCACGATTCGGATCAAGAATCCACCAACAAAACGGCGATTAACTCATAGCATAAATACAGTTCATGATATGAACATTGGGGTGGAGTGGTGGTGCAGTGGTTAGCACCCTGAACCTGGCTGGCAGAGTTAGATTTCTGGCCATGACAAATCTCCATGGCAAGCACTATCTGAATCAGTCATAAGCCTCTGCTCCTTCACCAACCTGTGCCGGCCATCAGAGTGAAGTATGGTCAAACAACTCCAAGCATGGGAAGACCATCGACAGTTTTGACAGAGCTGTAAATTATTTATATAATGATTAAGTACTAACTTACTACTTCAATAACAAAATATTCCCTGTATAGCCTTCCTACAAAGACAGAAATTCCCCGAAAGTTGAAGAACCCTTGCTGCTCTACGCGATGCCGATTCGTGCTGCTTCCCTTGAAGGTGCCCGCTGTTAACTCCTGGGGCGCCGCCGCTGTCAATTTTCTCACCGGAGATTCAGAATGATAATTACAGGACTTCAAATGGTCATATGACGTGTTCTGTGTGCGAGAGATTACAGTATTTTACAACTGGAAGGTCATTTCTGTACTTTAAATTCACATACCTGGTCATGATCCTGGCAGACAGGTGTGTGTGTGTGTACGTGTGTGTGTGTACGTGTGTGTGTGTGAGGGAGGGTGGCATGTGTGTGCAGATTGCCCTCGATGACATCATCACAACTGTCTGGACCACAGGACGGGTTCTGCAGGATTGGAAGGATGCCCTGGTGCCCCCCCCCCCTCTTAAAAAATGGGGGACTGCACAGATTGTAACAACTATAGGGGGCATATCTCTTCTGACCGTGCTGGGAATGGTCCTGGCGAGGATTATTCAACATCGCCTTGCCAGGCACACTGAGGAGAGGCTTGTGGAGCCCCAGTGTCGTTTCAGACCAGGGCAGTCCTGCACGGATGCCATATTCTCTATCGGTCTGCTGCAGCAGAGGTGTAGGGAATTCCAACACGACCTACATCTCTGCTTTATTGACCTGGTTAAGGCCTATGATACCATCAACAGGCCAGGGCTCTGGGAAGTTCTTCGTGCTTTCGGAGTCCCTGACTCTTTGCTCACAATCATTAAGGTCCTTCATGATGTTGGGCAGGCCCGGGTAAAGCTACGAGGCCAGGAGTTGGAACAATTCCCTGTTCACTTTGGGGTGAGGCAGGAATATCCTCTGGCTCTCAAATTATTTAACATCATCTTTGACCACGTATTTGGAAAAGCTTTCCATGGCTGTACTCGAGGAATTTCAATCTGGTGCAGATACAACGGGAGACTGAGCAATGCACGGGTGCAGTGGAGGGATGGCTCCCTATTGGTCAACCATGTTATGTATGCTGATGATCTGGTGATTGCTGCTCACTCAGAGGAGTTCGAGGCGCTGCTGCTAATCCTGGAGTGTGCCACTAAGAGGTGGGGCCTTGCCATTAGCCCCACCAAAACTAAGCACCTCCCTGGGTATTTTGTGCCATCAAAAACTCCACCCCCTCAGCTCCTCACTGGTGATGGAGCAGTTGTGGAGTGGAGTTTCCCATACCTGGGCAGTGTGCTTAGGACCAACTCTGGTTTGACACCTAAGGTCTCACTCCGAATCAGTCAGGCCGCATTATCTTTTAATCAGCTGTGTAATGCTGTGTGAAAGCTACCTGGTCTGTCACTCCGCACGAATCGTCGGGTCTTCTCAGCCACAGTCATGCCCTCCCTTCTCTATGCTTGTGAAACGTGAAGCCCCCTAATGGAACATCTGCACCGGTTAGAAACATTTAGGCTGGCCTGCCTCCGATCCATCCTGGGTATAACCAGGCTAGATTGTGTGAGCTCACAAATCCTTGAAAGATTTGTACACATTCCCATCAGTGTGCTCCTCTGGCAGGCAAGGCTGCGCTGGTTGGGTCAAGCCTCGCCACAGCATGCCCAAGCAGTTTGTGTTTGGCTGCATAGAGGGGGCTAAATGGGCACGACATGGGCTGAAGAAGAGGTGGACTGACGCGGTACGGGAGGTTGTGGAGCTGAGTGGACTTGCTGACGACTGGTACCAGTGGTGTCAAGATCGGCCTCTATGGAGGAGGCTTGTGAAAGACGCTACTGGGCAGTTGGAGGCAGTCGCCCTCCAACAACAACGGAGGGCAGAGGAGCGATGCTAACAATAACAAGCGGAGCGCCGGGCAGCTAAAATGCAGCAAGTTGGCACAGTAGGGGGTACAGCTGGTGCATCTACCAGTCATCTCAATCAGCCAACTCATGGCACCTGCTGGGACTGCCTCGAGACCTGTCAGCGAGCCTTCGACACTTCACGTGGCCTCAAAGTGCACCTGGCCTGGCATAGGCCGTGGTGACGTCACTGTTACTTCGTGGCGAAAGGCGGGTATTGGTGTGCGTGTGTACACGTGCGTGTGCCTAGCTGGGAGCAGTAGCGCAGCGATCAGCGTGCTGCACTATGAACTCGGTCACCCGAGTTCGATTCCCGCTAACAGCCACCCACACCGGTGACGATTATCTGAACCGGTCTTAGGCCTCCCCTAGGTCGACTCGGTCTCAAATGAGTGCCTGGAGCGGTGTGTAAATATCGCCACTGGGAAGTCAAAGGCGGCCGCGCACGGTGCTGTCCACCCACCCACACGTGTGCCGTGCAGGCCTTTATAGATGCTACTCGCTAACAGCACTTGCCCCAACAGTATATTTAAGGCTATACGGGGGTCTTTTGTCTTTGCCGTGCAGCGATAAGGGTGGAGGAGCACTGCAGTAGCCGCAGCAACATAACGACCACGAAGTCATTATTTCACGATTAATAAAGATATGCACACTCTTTGGGTCTTTCGGTAAAGTCACGTAGATAGAAAAATAAAAATCACGACTTTTAGATCGCAACACAAGCGATCGTCATCGGGTGAAAAAATACAGCAGGCGAACTGCAGAGGCAGGATAAAGATATCGGGAGAGTTGCTGCAGCAGCAAGAGGTTATTGAGGTTTGAGATGGGTGCAAGCCAAGGGTAAGTGGGGGGGGCTAGAGGTGGAATTTACAAGTAATAAACCTCGGCCATTGTATCACATCACTACGGTGCTGAAGAAGCCATTGTGTTGCTAGAGATTAGAGATTAGCATGTCAATGTGAGACGGCTTCCGCAGCAGCGACTGTGTTAATGAGACACATTCAGCCGATTAAACAACGAGAGCCACCGCCAGCCAGAGGTCGCAAACGGGTTTTGATTCCTTACCCCGTAACCCGTGCCCGGCCGCACCAGGGTCGCAAACGGGTATCGGGTAGGGTAGCCGGGTATCGGGTAGGGTAGCCGGGTATCGGGTAGGGTAGCCGGGTATCGGGTACCCGATTGCGACCTCTGCCGCCAGCCACATCGAGGAAAGGGGAAGCAGCGGCTATGTTAGTGAGACATTTAGCCTGTTCATGTAAAGATATTTAACAAGGTAAAGTAACTCAGAGAGTCGGAAATAACTGCTAACATAGGCAGGTAGGATGTAAGCAGCTCAGCCAGTTATGACTGTACCTGGTTAATAACGTCCTTCCAATGATTGCTCACTTTGTACCCATCTTCTCGGTTGAAATTGTGTCTGTGTTTACAACACCAACATCACTTTCAAAATCATTGACATCACAAGCATAACTCATCATCGTGATCATAAACATTCGAAAGATCTGTCATCAACATAAACTACATTGCAATCATGACCATCAACCATTATCACCATTATGCAAATCAATATAATCACAAAAACTGCAACCATTATCATTACCATCACCACAATCAAATAACTCAAGACCACCATAACTATCATCACAATCACCATCACGATTACCACCACTCAAACCACAACCAACATTCCAGTATTAAAACGAATGCAATCATAACTACCATCACAATCACAATGACCACACTCATCAAAACCACGATCACCAACTACTTCCCTTCTACGTGACTTTACCGAAAGAACCAAGAAGATACTGTAACCATCATAATTCCCATCAATGGCATCGACGCCACCGTCGCCTGGCGCGCTATTATCTCCCCGTCGGCTCATTCAGATGCCGCTCTCCTCCCCACTGCGACACCTCCTCGGGACTGCTGCAATATCAAAGACAAAGGTCCCCCGTGTAGCCTTCACAGACTGTTGGGGCAAGTGCTGTTAGCGAGCAGCACCTGTGAAGGCCGGCACCGTGGCACACGGGGGGTGGCCGGCACCACGCCCGAACGCCTTTGTCTCCCGAGTGGCGATGTTTACTACACACCGCACTTGATACTCGTATGAGGCTGAGTCGACCTAGAGGAGGTCCATGACCGGTTCAGATAATCGTCACTGGTGTTGGTGGCCGTGAGCGGGAATCGAACTCGGGTGGCCGGGTTCGGAGCGCAATGCGCGCTAACCGCTGCGCCACCGCTCCCCGCGATCTCGCTGAACACCGGCCACGTGCACTGCCGCACGACGCCGCCGCCGCCGCCTCTCACTCCGTGACGGATCACACGGCCACGAGGAGAACCTCGTGGTTTCGTCGCGATTTAAGAACTGCATTATTCCAATATTTTACACAACGCATACTACAGTACAGGAGTGACGCGTTTCACGATTCAGACGAGCACGGTTGGCTACGTACGGCGCGAAGGATGTTCAACATACAGTACATACATTTATGAAATACAAAATCTATCGTACGACGAGTTTCTTACACGCAGCGAAGCGTCGTTAGTCACTAAAACAATATCAATAGATGCCTATAGAATTGCCCAAATCGCATCACGGACACGCCCACAATGTACGCCGCTTGCTCCTCGACGTCCGATGTCCCTGCGGCAACAACCGCCCAGAGGCGCAGCACGCAGAACAGACATTGCACACAAATACAACAATAGACATTGCACACAAATACAACAATAGACATTAAACACAAATACAACAATAGACATTAAACACAAATACAACAATAGACATTAAACACAAATACAACAATAGACATTAAACACAAATACAACAGACATTAAACACAAATACAATAATAAACATTGTACACAAATACAACAGACATTGCACACAAATACAATAACAGATATTGTACACAAATACAACAGACATTGTACACAAATACAACAGACATTGTACACAAATACAATAATAGACATTGTACACAAATACAATAATAGACATTGTACACAAATACAATAATAGACATTGTACACAAATACAATAATAGACATTGTACACAAATACAACAACAGACATTGTACACAAATACAATAACAGACATTGTACACAAATACAATAACAAACATTGTACACAAATACAACAACAAACATTGTACACAAATACAACAATAGACATTGTACACAAATACAATAATGCAGTCTAGAATAGATGATTCACCACAACGTCTAAACGCAACCACATCCCAAGTGAATAGACCACCATCACACGAGATGTAATGCACGAGAGCAACGTGTAGAAGTGCCGACAGCGACGAGCAGCAGCGCCGCTGAAGGCCGTGGGCACGGTGGCACACGAGGGGTGGGTGGCCAGCAGCACGCCCGGCCGCCTTTGTCTCCCCAGCGGCGATGTTTACTGCACACCGCACCCGGTACTCGTTTGAGGCCGAGTGAGCTAGGGGAGGCCCAGGTCAGGTTCCGATAATCGCCACTTATCGGCCGTGAGCGGAAATCAAAGTGGGATGACGACCTCGGTTCGTGGCGCTGTGCGCTAACCACTGGACCACCGCTCCCCACAGTCACCCCCCACAATGTCACCCCCACGGCGTCACCCCCCACGACGCACACAAGACACGCACCACCATCATGGGAGAAGCAGTCCATACAGTGCTTCATCCCCCTCCTCGGCAGCTCGGAGCCCTCTCGCTCTCCAACACGCGGAGCGGCTGGAGAGGAGAGGGAGGAGAGGGAGGTCCTCCTCCCTGGCGAGTGGCTACCGGCCGGCGTGGGGGGGGCAGGGAGGAGACAAAGCGTGTGGGGGGGGGGCAGGGAGGAGACAAAGAGTGGGGGGAGGGGTCCCTGCAGGGAGCGCGCGCTTGGCTGGGCGGGAGGGCGCTCTGTGGTTATTGTCAGGGAGGGCTTTTCTGAAGGTGCAGAGGGGAGCGGTGGTAATGATGGTGGTGATGGTGGTGTTTGGGTAATGGTGATGGTGGTGTTTGATGGGTGGGTGACGGTGGTGTTTAGGTAATGATGGTGGTGATGGTGGTGTTTGGGTAATGGTGGTGGTGTTTGGGTAATGGTGGTGGTAATGGTGGTGTTTGATGGGTGGGTGGCGGTGGTGTTTGGGTAATGGTGATGGTGGTGTTTGATGGGTGGGTGACGGTGCTTGCTGGTCGTGTTAATCATCGGTGGTGTCGCGGTGAGCGCGCCACGCTACGAACCCGGCAACCCAAGTTCGATGCCCGCTCACGGCCAAACACCAGTGAAAAATATCTGAACCGGTCCTGGGCCTCCCCTAGGTCGACTTAGCCGCAAATGAGTACCTGGTGTGGCGGTATGTAAACATCGCTACTCGGGAGACAAAGGCGGCCGGGCGTGGTGCCGGCCACCCACCCCTCCTCGTGCGCCGCGTGTCGGCCTTCACAGGTGCTGCTCGCTAACAGCACTTGTCCCAAGTCTGTGGTGGACGTCTCAATATTACGTCCCACGGAGGGCATCGTTGTCAATCCACTGCCGATCGAGGATCTCCCCACGCCGTGCGGGCCGCGGGGAGTTATTTGATCACCGGTTGAGACATTACTCGCCACTGGTGTTCACCACAATGACAGCTGCCCATGAAGATGTAGATATGAAGAGACATTTCGAGCAAATCGGGGCCATTCGGTTCGTGTCGATGAGACTGGACCGCTGTCCTGGCAGCGCATCGCGACGCATTCTGAAGTTGAGATGCGCATCGTTACCTGTCAAGCTCATGGGATAAACCAGACAGACACGAGACAGCCTACAGACAGCGCTAGGACGAGTCGACACCATCGGAGCATTCAGTCCAGACAGAGAACAAACGAGACAGTACAGGACGAGCCCCTAAAAGCTCAGCGATACAATACAAATAAGAAGTACAAATACACGAATAACGAATTAATTTGTATCGAATGCAATTAATGTAATCGCCGAGGAAGCAAATCGATGTCTGGGATATGAACACCAACATCGATTTAGAAATCGACTTCGATACCCATAGCAGCAGCTGTGACCGTGACACGCGCTCCATGTGGATATCGCCCGACCATCAAAAAAGCCGTGGCATTACATTCCTATTCTACTGCATCTTGTTCAGATATATCGGTACCATTCGTTATCAATCAGACACCCTCGGATCTCGGTTTTATTTAATTACAAATATAATCTCGGTCGTAACTAGCGGTCATCACACAATGGGAATAGCAACGCGAATAAAATACATCCGTGCGTGTCCACCCAGTGCGTGTGGACACGGCATGGCCACGCAACCTGCGTGTGGATGCCGCACAGCAGACAGCCGAGAGGCGTGGCAGCAGCATCATCATCAGCCATGATCCATCCACTGCTGGATGAAGGCTTCGACAAAACACGGTACTATATGTATATCCATGGTGTCCGGGTAGGTTATAACACAGTAACTGCCATTCACAACCAGATATCATTGTGGCCAGGTCGCTTATGAAAAGGACCCATACAGTACTGGGTAGCTTAGTGGGAGTTACATCGTGTGACAAATATAATACTGTCTTCTTTGGGTCTTTCGGTAAAGTCACGTAGAAACATTTCTTTTTTACAAAAGACGACGACGTTTAGATCGCAACACAAGCAATCATCAGGAGAGAAAAAAGATGGGAAAAGCTGCTGAGGCAGGCTGTTTTAAAGGTTTGAAATGGGTGTAGCCGAAGGGTCACAAACGAAGTGGGCGGGGCTGGTGATGTTAAAGTGAGAGATTAACAAGTCAATGTACGATCTGGGAGCTACCCCCATGACGAAGGCGTGGAGGTGGCCATTGTATCGTGAGAGATTAGCAAGTCAATGTACGATCTGGGAGCTACCTCCATGACGAGGGCATGGAGGTGGCCATTGTATAGTGAGAGATTAGCAAGTCAATGTACGATCTGGGAGCTACCTCCATGACGAGGGCGTGGAGGTGGCCATTGTATCGTGAGAGATTAGCAAGTCAATGTACGATCTGGGAGCTACCTCCATGACGAGGGCGTGGAGGTGGCCATTGTATCGTGAGAGATTAGCAAGTCAATGTACGATCTGGGAGCTACCTCCATGACGAGGGCATGGAGGTGGCCATTGTATAGTGAGAGATTAGCAAGTCAATGTACGATCTGGGAGCTACCTCCATGACGAGGGCATGGAGGTGGCCTTTGTATCGTGAGAGATTAGCAAGTCAATGTACGATCTGGGAGCTACCTCCATGACGAGGGCATGGAGGTGGCCATTGTATCGTGAGAGATTAGCAAGTCAATGTAAGATCCGGGAGCTACCTCCATGACTAGGGCGTGGAGGTAGCCATTGTATCGTGAGAGATTAGAATGTCAATGTAAGATCGCAGAGCCACTGCCACATCGAGGACACGAGCGACGGTGGCTGTGTTAGTGCGAGACATTAAAACTGTTAATGTAAAACCAGAGAGTCGAAAGTAACTACTAACAGCGGAAGGTACGATGAAGACATCACAGCCAGTTATGACTTAAACTGGCTAATAACGTCCTTCCAATGATTGCTCAGTTTGTACCCATCTTCTCGGTTGCAATTGTGTCTGTGCATACTGTACTTTAATAGTAAGCGGGTGTGACGTAACCACGGCGCGTGTGTCAGGCAAGGTGCACTTTCGGCCACGTGAAGTTGTTGAAGGCTCGCTGACAGGAGACCATGGGACAGACCCACGTGCGCACATAGGTTGCCCGAGTAAGATGGCTGGCAGATGCACCCCCTGTGCTCCCTACTGCGCCGACTTGTTGCACTTTATCCGCCCGGCGATCCGCCTGGTTGTTGTGAGCGCCGCTCCTCTGCTCTCCGTTGTTAGATGGCGACTGCCTCCAACTGCCGAGTAGCGTCATTAATAAGTCTGCTCTCCACCACTGGCAGAAGTGATCTCCTCTCTAACCCGAGCCGCATCCGTTTAGCTCCCTCTATCCAGTCAAACACAAGCTGCTTGGGCATGCGGGCTACATGGCCCAGCAACTCAACCTTGCCTGCCAGAGGAGCTCACCGATGGCACTTTGTCCAGGTCCTTCAAAGATCTGTAAGCTCTTCACACAATCCAGTCTGGTTAAACCCAGGACGGATCGTAGGCAGGGCATCCTGAATGTATAAAACCGGCAAAGATGTTCATTTAAAAGGGCTCCACGTTTTGCAAACATAGAGTAAGTTATAAATGTGGCCGAGAAGGCCCGGAGCTTCGTATGGAGTGATAAACAGCGTTACGCAGCTGATGAAAATTTGATGCCGCTCAAATGATTCGGTCAAAATAACACTGCGCCTAGGTATGGAAACGTCTCCACTCTCTGCACAACTGCCCCATCACTCATGGGGAGCAGAGGTGGTGGGAGATTCAATTACACAAATGACCCAGGCAGGTACTTTGTTTTGATGGGACTGGTAGTGAGGCTCCATCCTAGTAGCTCGCTCCAGGTTCAACAGCACGGTCTCCAGTTCCTTCTCAGTGAGCAGAGGTCACCAGATCATAGCCAATATAAAGCCATGACTTGACTGCACCCGGGCATCGATCAACCTTCCATATATCTGTACCATGTAGAAAATCTTTCCGGTAGTCACAGAAAGCTTATTGAACTACATGGTCAAAGAAGATGTTAAATAGTGTAGGGGCCACAGGACATCCCTGTCGCACACCAAGGTGAACAGAAAATGGCTCAGACTACCAGGCACGCAGATTTACCCGGGTCAGCTCAACATAATGAATGTCCTTAATGATTGTGAGTAGATGATTAGGGACTCCAAAAGCACGAAGAATACCCCAGAGCCCTGGTCTGTTGATTGTATTATAGGCCTTGACTAGGTAAAAAATTCAGAGATGTAGGTCCTATTGGAATTCCCTACACCTCTGCTGTAGCAGACTGACTGAGAATATCTGTACCCTTTCACAAGTTACAAAGGACTCAGAGGTTACAGGCTATAAGCACTTCTCGCCCACAATATGCAAATCTGTAATGAGAATTCACTGCACGTAGCCGATTTTATTGCACGTATTCCCACTGTCTAGAGGCCATGTTTCGACTGCAGAATGCGTTGTGTATACATACAGCATGCTACAATATATACATGCTAAGAGTCTATACAATCCATAAATGCCACATTATAAATGCATATATAATATGCATAAATAACGTAGCATATTTACATGCATAATGCAGCATGCGTTTAATATGCATATGCTGTATATTAACGTGTAACAAAGCATAAACTATACACAGTATGCAGGCTACATGCAGTACATCTCATTCAAACGCACCCCCCCGCCTTGCATGCGATAGCGGGAAGCAGCGCCACTCGCATTCAATGAAACGTAATTCGACCATTATCGTTAACTGCCGCATTGTAATTTAATGACAACAGTAGAGGCTAGTGCAGCTCAATCCATTGTTGTTCCATGCCCAAGCTTGGATGGACCATGGCTGCTCCTGATGATAATGTATTAGAGAACGGCCCATTGTTGTCGCCGCGCGGTGCTGCTGCTGCTGCTGAGACGATGCGTGCCCACGACGACACCGCCACACGCGGCGCGACGCGGGCACCGTCCCCACCGTCACCACCGCCACGACCCCCGTCTCTCGCACGCACACGGCGGCAGCAACAACAACACCCCACAGCGAACACCGGTCGCGGCCTCCGCCTACCACGTGGCGGTGTGGCCCGATGGCCGGCTGAGCACGGTGAAGAGAAAGCCAGCGGCCCCGTCGGCGCACGCCGTAAGAAGCAAGCAGCGGTGTGCGCGGGCAGGCAGGCCGGCTCACTCAC